TTTTAATAAAATTGTATAACAAAAACTCACGCGATGCATATGTCATATTTTAGTAGAAACTAATGGTTAAAGGCTTTCTTGTTAACATAAGCGAAGTAGATCCCAATGACCAGCCGGAGAAGTACATGCCTTTAGAAGTTTACATAAATATTAAGGCATGAATAATGTTTATAATCATACATTATATAAACAACGAAATGTTTTATATCTTATTAAACTTGTTTCTATGAATTAATGAATTACCTCTGTTTTGTAATCTTCAACATTAAACTTTGTAATATGTGGCAGCTTTGTATTTCTGGTACTAGTGGTTGGGCATTTTGGTAGATAAACATTAGTGAACGGCTAGATTTTGCACTGTTTAAAATCTCTGTGAAGTCAAATCACAAAATTGCTTTGCAGAAGAAATTAAAAGAAACCAAACTCATAGGTTTGCAACTTGCAATAGTTCGCTGTTTAGACTTGTTAAAAACAATGAAAATACCCAAAAAGCTACAAACTTGCAACAAGATTCATACCACTTAAAGCTCTGTTTTGTTTCAAAAACCAAAGAGATCATCACTTGAGGAAAAAAATTTTCCTACGATGAGATTAATCTTTTTTGCTATGAACAAGAAGAAAATGACTTCTCCGGTACTAATTTCAAATTAAGAGATAGATTATGAATGAACAGAAGAATAGGGGCATAAATGTCAACTAATAATGACTGTGTGTGCATGAAGTCAAAAGTGCAATAATGTTTCTCATCTTTTAAGAAGTTGATAATATTTCCTTCTCTGTGAAGTTTCCTTCTCTCTTTAAAAACTCCTCGTCACTGTCGAGAGAGAACTCAAACGAGGAAGAGAGGAATGGAAAACAAAACTAGTTCGAGGTTAGAGATTGTTCTTCCGGGTCGGATTGAAACCGGTTTGGAGGAAATCTACAAGAAACACAAGTGTGGTCCGATAAACAATGAGACGAGGAAGAGACTGTCTTTAGTTTCTGAGGAGGTGGCTTCTGATACGCTCAAGAAGGTTTTAAATTCGAAGCATGTGATTTCTCTTGACGGATTCATCAAATATTTTGTTGATCAGAGCTCGGGCAAGTCTCCGGCTCAGTCTCCTCCTTGTTCCTATGCTGCAAAATACAGAGCTCTTTGAGGTCAGTATCAGAATCAGAGTATTAGAAACAGAGTATCAGAAACAGAGCCTGTTTAAAAAAAGTGAAAATATTTCAACTTTCTTATGCGTTTACTATGATTATTGGTGATTGTACAAGAGATATGTGTTGATTTGGAGTCTTTGCAAACACAAGACGATGGAGGATCTCTGCACAGTCCTCAGCTCTTAGCTTTAGCTGACCTTGAATTTAAGAAGATGTTTTTGTTGCTTAGCTATATCCCAGGGTTTGAGCTGCAAGCTTTCTGACTTTTTTTTTTCCCCCATCAATATGAAGTGATTGGTTTTGTGTAAAAGTTTTGGTGTTGTATATACAGGCAAGACTTGAGTAAGGTTATAACTTGTGATGAGATCAGACAATTGAAGGACTTGCCTATGGTTGCATATGAAATAGCGGTTTGGAACCGCTTTGGCCGGCGTTATTGTTCCCAAACAGACCGAAGAGTGG